GCAAAGCAGAATTATGTGTCTGACAAAGACTTTCTCTTCCAAGAGCAAGGAGGATGGAACAGGGTGGAACAGTCCAGTTAGAGTGGGTGAATAAAGGGCTAAGAGAGGCCCAGTCATACTGCCTGAACTTTTTCACAAGAAGTAAGACATCAGGAGTAAGGAAGCATTTCTGAACTACATGGTACATCACTTTATAGATGCCAAGATTTTGTTGAACTCTCTCAGCTTTCCTTTCTTTCCTCACTCTATCTTTTGGGTTAGGTCTTTAAAAATTTTTTTTGAGATATAATTGATATGCAATATGATACTACTTTTAGGTGCCTAATATAATATAATATAATATAATATTTGTATATTTGTGAAATACTTACCATGTATGTAATTAACACCCATCACCACACAGTTACAAATTTGGGCTTAGGTATTATTCTTTCGAAGTTATTTTAGTAAGTTTTGGGAAGAAATGAAAGTAAATATGTATATTAAATTCTCTGCCTCTTTTTTTTTTTTTAAAGATTTTATTCATGACAGAGAGAGAGAGAGAGGCAGAGGGAGAAGCAGGCTCCATGCAGGGAGCCCGACACAGGACTCGATCCCAGGTCTCCAGGATTAGGCCCTGGGCTGAAGGTGGTGCTAAACCACTGAGCCACCTGGGCTGCCCAAATTCTCTGCCTCTTAAACAGAGGTTTCAGGTTAGTGTTTTGAAAGTAATTTTGTTGCCAGGGTTACAAATTTCTTTTAAGACAACTATTTATTACTTGTGCTACTAGGTGAATACAGTGATGCAATAATTCTTAGATTGCAAAATCTCTAAATCATTTGTATTTGCTATTGCAATATGGATTTATTTTTGGGAGACTTACTCTGACAATTTTGTTTGACTTTGGTTAATGTTAAAACTAGGTTGCATAATGTTAACATATAAAGAGGTGACTCAAATTAAAATATCTCAAGCACAAATTTTAAATTTTTGTAGATATTCCATCAAATTTCGCTTTCACAGAGCAATAATAAAAAAAGGAACTGTAATAATATATATGCTTCCCACTTCAGCATTTACTAACAATCCTTAAAGTGAAAAGGATCCCAAATTAAAGAAAGAATGGAGTGCCTGGGGTGGCTCAGTCAGTTAAGTGTCTGTCTTCAGCTTAGGTCATGATCCCAGGATCCTGGGATGGAGGACCCCTGTGGATCTCCCTGCGCAGCGGGGAGTCTGCTTCTCCCTCTCCCTCTGCCCCTCTTCCTGCTTGTGCTCTCTCTCAAATAAATAAATAAATAAATAAATAAATAAATAAATAAATGTCTTTAATTTATTTATTCCAGGGATCCCTGGGTGGTTCAGTGGTTTAGCGCCTGCCTTTGGCCCAGGGCATGATCCTGGGGTTCCAGGATCGAGTCCCACATCGGGCTCCCTGCATGGAGCCTGATTCTCCCTCTGTGTCTCTGTCTCTCTCTCTCTCTCTGACTCTTATGAATAAATAAAATAAAATCTTTAAAAAATTATTTATTCTTGGAAAATGTAGGGTAGCTCAATTATAGTATTCATGGTGTTAAGCAAAATCTTTTCTAAAATAATCTGATAAGTATCTTCAACTAAGGCTTAATAGAATAATCAAGTTTACTTATTAGTTACCCTGGAGTTTTTGTATCTCAACAGGCATCATAACATAGAATATCTATTTGTGGCATTTTGGGCATCAGTAGGGCATAAGAATGATGTTTCAGGGAGCAGAACGTTTTGTGCATCTACGAATTAAACAGGATTATAATGGTCCCCTTTGGAAAATGATTTTTTTAAAAAAGATTTTATTTATTTATTTGACAGAGAGAGCGAGAGAGTGAGAGAAACAGAAAGAGAACAAGCAGACAGAGGAAGAGGGAAAAGCCGACTTCCTGCTGAGCAGGGAGAATGACAGGGCTCCTCTATCCCAGTACTCTGGGATCATGACCTGAGCAGAAGGCAGACACTTAACCAACTGAACCACCCAGGTGCCAATGGAAAAAGATTTTAACTTTGATCATAGGAACTGGATTTGAGATTCATCTTTACAAATTACTAATCTTGGGATGCCTGGGTGGCTCAGCGGTTGAGTGTCTGCCTTCGGCACAGGGCGTGATCCTGGAGTTCTGGAATCGAGTCCCACATTGGGCTCCCTGCACGGAGCCTGCTTCTCCCTTTGCCTGTGTCTCTACCTTCTTTCTATGTCTCTCATGAATAAATAAATAAAATCTTTAAAAAAATTACTATTCTTAGGACCTTGGGTATACCCTTGTTTAGTTATCCATTGTAATAAATCACCTCAAAACTGGGTAGTTTAAAACAATAGTCATGCTTGATTTACTCAAGATTCTAGAGGGAATAAGTCCTACATTCCTGAAGGAAAATCTGGGTGGTACACCATTGTGGTCACCACAGGATCTGTGGCTTTTGGTAGAGAGACACAGCCTTCTTGTAACGACTTGGCATGAAGGAGATGGGGGCTAAATACTCCAATGTCAGCCCTCCAGACTTCCAATCTCCTGCCAGTGCCCTCTCCCATGGACCAAACCCAGAAGTCATAGGACTCTGGGTTTTGAGTCACAGGGCAGGGTGGAGAAGGGGGAAGAGTAGATCTAGAGGGGCAACAGAAGATATTCAGCAGCAGAAAACAAGTTTAGTTGTTGAACACTAAAGGCATGTTAAGTTAAATAATATCCTGATGCATACTTCTTATTTGTGGATTAGAGGAGTGTTGGAGCCACCCTCTAATTCATTCCCTTCCTTGCTCCTTTGCTTTCATCTACCTCCTGATAACTTCACTTTTCATTCTACCATTTAAAATAAACTCTGCCTCATTACTTCAGCTTAAAGCATGTTCTAGTTCATGAGTTTGGCTTTTCTCCTCTTTTTTTTTTTCATCCTTCTTTTAGTATCATATACCCATCTCCTAGTCGGGTAATGTTCTTCAGCCAACCTCTTCCCAGGCATCTTTCTTTCTATACAGCAGCCCTCTGGAGAACCTTTCTTCCCCCAGCCTCTTATCCTGGCTCCTTGATTAAGACTAGAAAGATCTGGTTTCAAGGTATTGAGGTAAGGCACATGAGAGATGACATGAGAGTGAGAGCCACGGGTATGTGGGGAAGGCTCCCTTTGGTGGATCCCTGTCTACAGTGTACTTTCTGAAGCTATTATCCAGTGGTAAAATGAATTCATGGCCTTTCCTCACATTCCTTATTTCCAACATACTCTCCCATTCCATCTAATGTGTTCTGATATAAAAGTCCCACCATTTAGCCTCAATAATCATCTATTCCTTGAAACTCTGGCTTCCATGCATTTTTCCCCTGAATTCATTTTTTTTTTACCTATCCCTCAGTTTCTTTCACTGCTTTAGTAGACAATCCCTCACCTCTTTCCCCTCAATCTTTTATCCCTTGCTTTCTTAAAAAACAAACAAACAAACAAACAAACAAAAAACAAAAAAACCTCTTCCTCAATCTGTTTTTTCATATCATCCTGGCTTCCTTTAGCCTGTGTTAAAACAAACTTAACTAATGCCAAATTACCCCCCAAGGATGTCATTTTTTCCCAAAAGTTCTCCCTCTTCCCCTCGGTTGAGAGAGAGAGAGAGAGAGGCAGAGACACAGGCAGAGGGAGAAGCAGGCTCCATGCAGGGAGCCCGACGTGGGAATCGATCCCAGGTCTCCAGGATCACACCCCAGGCTGCAGGCGGCACTAAGCCGCTGCGCCACAGGGGCTGCCCCCCCTCGGTTTTCATCTTCACAAAATTTGCTTTTCAAGAATACAAAGGAAACACTTCTCCAGGAGAAGACAATCACTATTTTGTTTTCCTTTAAAGTATTTCACATGCTAACTACGAAGTGTTTACATTTTAAATGTAAGCCTAATTGAAGAATTGTGTGTCTATGTGGGAGGAGGAGGGGCGCGGTGGTAAAGTGGTGAGTGGGGAGTCTGTTTGAAACCCTAGTCTCTAACCCGAGAAACTGAAAAAATAGTAAACAAGCACTCCACTCTGAGGTTTGGACTAATTCACTCACTTTCTTCTCGAAAAAAAAAATTTTTTTTTTGGTATTTATCTTGAGAATGGTGTAAGGGAATGAAAAGGACAAATTTAAGCAAGAACTAAGAAGTTAGACTCTCAAGACAAAATTTAAAAAAATTCTTATCTCACTCTTTTGTATCCCCACATTCATAGTCCTTTAAAAGCACGTTTAACCTACAAATATCCATGGAAACCAACCAAAGGGAAATTAGAAAGGAGAGGCATTTCAGTACCAATTCTATGCGAATTGATGTTTGATTTTCATTAGTCCAGCACTGTTTTTCCTCCAATGTCTTAGTGTTTATTACAGCAACAATTACCTCAGTAACAAATCCTCCAGGGTAGTTTTGTTTAAAGGTGCCTAACTTATACACTTCACCCAACTGTTTTCAAAAGTGTTGAGTCCTTCATGTTGCAAATTAAAATACTATTTTTATCTCGGCTCTGGTTCTGCAGCAGAAGCCTGTCCCCAGCAGGGCAGGGCCAGGAAAGCTCCTGTGCACGTTTAAATCATGTGCACGTTGCTGTGCATCTCGGCCACAAGGTGCTTTAAAACTGCCAAGAACCGGTGCATGCTGTGTGCCAAATGATCAGTCCTGCGACCTGGACACAGAAGAAGGATGCTTTCTCCCTCCCTCTCACACTAAAAACAAAACATAAAAAGCAAATCCAGCAGGCATCAAAACCTTCCGAACGCCTGGGGAAAGCGCGCCAATCACACAAAGAAAAGGAGGGGGGCTACTGGGATTCAAAATCCTTTCCCCAGGACGAACACCCTCCCTGACCTATCGGAGTTAACTGCGCGCTCGGTCGTAGCCAATAGGCATGGCGCCCCGGGTTCAGGCCCACCTTGCAGGCTGACGGACATTCATGCAACCCAATGAGATAGCGCGATGCTGGAGAAGGAACCAGTACATTAGGGAGGGGGCGGAGTGTAGGCCAGGGGGTTGGCGGTGCCGTGTCATGGAGGCTCAGTCAACGAGCAGCCATTGAAGGGGAAGGAACTGTGGCGTGCGTGTGTGTGTGCGCGCGCGCGCGCGTGTGTGTGCGTGTTTGTGCGTGCGTGTGAGTGCGCGCGAGTGTGTGGACGAGGAGGTGGGGGCGGCCGACTTAAGAGTCCCAACTCCTTGGACTCCATTTGCTATTCTCTTCTTTCTCCCCCACACCTATCTGGAGGTAGTGGGCGTTTATATTTGCTTTTCTTTTCATTCATTTCCAGATCTTTTACAATTTAAGGGTTGGGGGTAGTGGGAAAGGCAGGAAAGGGTCAGGGAAGGAGTAGTAGCAGCCGAGCAGGAGGAGGACATGGAGATGAAGAAGAGGATTAACCTGGAGTTAAGGAACAGAGCCCCGGAGGAGGTGAGATGACTCAGCCCCCTCCCCTTCCCCGCCAGACCTGGATTCGGAGGGTCGGGTTCTGGGGGTCCCGGTGGCTGTGCGGGGAGGGGCCATGAATGAACCCCCGACTCGGGTTAGGGTTAGTGGGGAATATTTAATTTTAAGTGTAAAATCATTAAAATCTTCTATTTAAAATGGCGAAGGGTTTGAAGTTTCTAGGGGCGTTTTTGTGTGTGCCTGGGGGCTTAGCCTCCGCAGGTTGTCCTCGAGTCGGAGTCCCGGCCTGGAGGGGCGGGACGCGGGTGCTGGGGGGCCGCTCTTTGGTTCCATCCTGCTCTGGGGCAGGCGGCGTGGGTGCGACCCCCAGTCCCACTCGCCCCTGCCGCAGCCGTCGTCGCCTGAGAAGTTAGTCCAACTTTTCTGCGATGCTGCCAACTCCTCCTTTCTTCTTAGGGGCGGGGGGTGTGCCCTGGTCTCGAGGCCCCGGGTGTCCGGCGCGCCGGCCGGGGTCCCCTGCGGAGGATGAGGTCGGCGGTCGGCGCCCCCGCGGCCTCCGAGTCCTGGGACCGAGGCGGGCAGGGCGCGCGGGGCGGAATCCTCTTGGTCCCCCCCGCGCTGGGACGGTATTCGGCGTGTCACGTCGTCGCGGCCGCAACTCCGAATTGGAGCCCGGGAGGAGGAGGTGTCACAAAACTCAACACATGGGTCGTAGTAGTTCTGTGCTTTAAAGATGGATTCGGCGAAGCGAAATGATGCGCTCCTGCCGCTGTCGCCTTAGTTAAAGAGACGGGGCTGGGAGGGGCCACGTGAGGCTGGTAGCGGTCAACTTCTGGGGGGTCGGACCAGGCGTTTCCGCCTCCCGGTCGAGGGCGCCTCCCGGGCTGGCCCAGCCCTCCCCGCCCGAGGCCAGGCGACCCCGCTTCCCCGGCGGAGCCCCCGCCCCGCGTGCGTTTTCCCGCGGGTCGGGGCGGCGGGCGGCGAGCGCGGCGAGGGTCTCGGTGACTGCGGCCCCTGAAACAAACACTGGGAGCGGAATAGCAGGGATCGGGCTGTTTTCGCAGGGGTGGGGCGGTGCTGTGCACCTCAGTGCTGGAGGCGAGCGGGTCTGCTGCTGGGATGTGCGGCGGACTGGGCACCCGAGGTCTTCATGCCCTTATTTATTTTTTTAAGCCTTCGTTTCCCTGGAATTGGCAAAGGGCAGGGAGGAGGAAACAGTGCTGCTATCATCCCAGAGAGAGCTGGGAGTTTTCTAGGGCCTACTCTTTGGGGGCTTCAGGAAAACAAACAAGATCAAACGCTGCCCTTCAGAAGCACACACGTACAATACTTTTGTGTGTCTGGGGTTTGGAAAAGTGAATTTGCTGCCCCGCATGCCCCCTTCCGTTTACCTACCCTACCCGTAGTAATTTCCTTTACAATTTTGGGGAGTGCCAGACGTTGTCTTTTTGCAGCCTCCCCTTCCTCCCCTGTGGTGTAATAACGGTCTCTTCTATTTGTATAGCTCTTTACAGTTTACAGAACGCTTTTTGTGTTTGTTATTTACCTTTCTACTTCGGACAGACTTGTAAGGTAGATTGTATTGTTCTAGAATCCAAATTAGTAAATGGAGTCCCAGGGCAGTGAAATTATTTACTCATGTGGAAGAACTGGTTTTCTGACACCAAATCTAGTGGCCCTCTCTCTCCTCCGCTCAGCTGGACTAGGAGTCAGAAGATTTAGAGTGGAAGCATAGCTCTGTTATACTGTGTGACGGTAGCCAAGTCATTCTTACCCTCTGGACCTTGGCTTCCTTAACTCTAAACAGATCATAGTCCTTCTCTGGTCTGTAAAATAATTATGTCAAAGTCATATTGAAATAGAGAAGGGGGCATTTCTCCTTGTTAATTTTTAGCTCTCAAAATCCTCAAACATATTTTTTTGCACTGGGAGTAGATATCCAGGGTCTCCTGTCTCCCCCTTAAGATTAAGTCCTCTTAGGTCCACACCAGCAAGTTTTGTTGTTTGACCTGATAGGAGGATGCTGCCCACCCCCCCCAATGAGGAGAAGTCTACAAAAATGCTACCAGAGTGTTACAGAGAAATAACATTTTGTCAATGATGTATTGTCCTGAGTGACATTGTTAGGCCCTGCTATTAAGAACAAATACCTCTGAAAGCCAGCTTTCTCAGAATGAGCTTTCGAGCATTTCTTCGTGAAGGGTAACAAAAGTATTTTTGAGTTGTGGTGGCATTTATCAAGCAAAGATAAGGGGGTTTAAACTTGAAATGTGAATAAAATAGTTTCCTTTCTTCTCCCTGCTGTTTTGGGGCAGCTCACTTGAATCATATCCCAGTAGCTTCTGCAGCCCTTCACTGCATAAATACATGCCTTGATGTTGTGAATCCTTATTAGGGGCAGAAGTAAGTTTCACATGGGACCTTTTTCGAAGTTTTATTTTTTATGCATCAGTGTTATGAGCAGGCATTGAACTTTTGGTCTAAGTTTAAATTTAAAAGATTAACTTATAATGATGACTTTAGATTGTATTTCAGTTTTTGGTTAGGGAGGAGTGAATGGAAGGGATCTGTGTAAGGGAATTAGTGGTTTTAATATTCACATTGCCAGTTGTCTTGACCCAAGTCTTTTGCTAAACAGACTGCAACGTAAAGAATCATTCATTTTCTATCTTACAGGTGACAGAGTTAGTCCTTGATAATTGCCTGTGTGTCAATGGGGAAATTGAAGGCCTGAATGATACTTTTAAAAAACTAGAGTTTCTGAGTATGGCTAATGTGGAACTAAGTTCACTGGCCCGACTGCCCAGCTTAAATAAACTTCGAAAGGTAAGTTGGTATTAAGTGTGAAATCATCATAATTTTGATGCCAAGGGCTAACATGTCTAGGTTTTGGCCAAATGAAACAACCATTCTGCCTTCTAATTAGAAGTTTCTGAATTTCTAGAGATAAGAGAATGGGTTATGCAGGATTTTAGAATCAGCTCTAATACTGCTTTTAAAAATTTAAACATAATAGTGAAATTGCTTTATGACATGAATGTGGATTTATTTATTTATTTTTAAATTATTTATTCATGAGAGACAGAGAGAGGCAGAGACACAGGCAGAGGGAGAAGCAGGCTCCCCGTGAGGAGCCTGATTTGGGACTGGATCCCAGGACCCCGGGATTACAACCTGAGCTGAAGGCAGATGCTCAACCACTGAGCCACCCAGGTGCCCCATGAATTTGGATTTAATATCTACTAAATGTTTTTCTCTGAAACATAAAAGCTACCTATAACCCAATTGGAACCAAATTTGGGGTAGAAGCTTATTATATAGGGGTTCCAATACATTATTTGGTGATTATAGGTAGGAATTTGGAAACTAATAATTTGTAACATTTCTTCTTCAAATTGATATATTTTAAAAATCTGGGGGCGCCTGGCTGGCTCAGTTGGAAGAATGTGTGACTCTTGATCTTGGCATTGGGTTTGAGCTCATATAAAGTGTAGAGATTACTTAAATAAATAAAAAACTTAAAAAATAATCCGATCTGCCCTAAGCCTTCACCATTGTTTGTTTTTTCTCCATGTTGAATATATAGTTGGAACTTAGTGACAATATAATTTCTGGTGGTTTGGAAGTCCTGGCAGAGAAATGTCCAAATCTTACTTACCTCAATCTGAGTGGAAATAAAATCAAAGATCTCAGTACAGTAGAAGCTCTGGTGAGTGGAAAGTCTCTGGACTTGCTCTTTTTTGGTTGATTTTCTGAGATTTGCTAGTGTTTTTATCTTCACTGATTTATATTTCACTCTTTGAAACTTCTGAATTTCTTATATGTTTTTAAAAGGATCTGCCTTCTCTTCTTTTAGAGTAAACCATTCAGATAAATTTTTAAATCTCTGAGAAATTTATTTTATTAATAACCTCAAGAGTTGAATATCTGGTTTTAAACTTCCCAGTATTTTCTTAAATTATGTTCTTTTTCCTTCTTTCTTGATTTAATTTTATTTTATTTTATTATTTGCTTCTTTGTTTCCTGGAGTGAGATGAAGTGAAACTCAGAAAATTGTTGTTCTGATTTTAAAAAAGCTTGGCAGGAGGTTGAAATTGTTGACAATAAGCTTGACTGGGTTTAAGCTAACCACATTATTATTGTTGCCTATTTATGGACATATATGGTCAACAAAATATATTGAGTGGCTACTACAGGATGACTCTAAGCCAGGTGTTGGAAATACAGTGGTGAACAAAATAAACTTCTTATTCTTGTGGAGTTTACATGCAGGTCCTCATAAAGAGAATTGATACGATAACCCTTCTTTATAAAATTTGAAAAATCCAAAAATCATTCTTTTAATATATGTTTTCAGGTCCATGAAATAAAAAGAAATAACATAATATTTAAAATCTTGAAATGTAAGCTTTAACTTTTTACTTTTCCAGCAAAATCTTAAAAATTTGAAAAGTCTTGACTTGTTTAACTGTGAGATCACAAACCTGGAAGATTACAGAGAAAGTATCTTCGAACTGCTGCAGCAAATCACGTACTTAGATGGATTTGATCAGGAGGATAACGAAGCACCAGATTCAGAAGAGGAGGATGATGAGGGTAATCATTCTTAATGCTTATAAATACAGGCTCCAGCCTAGCCAGGCAAGTTAGATTGGGCCTGGATATTTAGGTGATTAAAAAAAAAAAAAAGTAAAACAAAAATTACAAAACCCACAGCCCTAATCCTGTATTTCTTATTTTAGATTGCTGATAGCTTTGGGGAATTTAATGATTATTATGCTATCAAGCTATGTGAAATTTTTTTTTAAAGGATTTTATTTGAGAGAGAGAACAAGAGAGAGTACAAGCAGAGGAAGCGGCAGAGGGAGAGGGAGAAGCAGGCTCCCCATTGAGCTGGGAATCCCAAGTGCGGCTCAATCCCAGGACCTCAGGATCATGATCAGAGCTGAAGGCGGATGCCCAACCGACTGAGCCACCGGGGTGCCCTCAAGCTCTGAAATTTTGTATATGTATGAGCTTTTTTAACGACCACCTAGTAAAAGTGGCAACTTTTAAAATAGTACTTTTTTTTTTAAAGGAATCATTTCTTGTAGTGTTATCCATAATAGTCAAGAAATAGAAACAACCCAAATGGCCTATCGACTGATGGAGAAACAAAATGTGATATATCCATACAATGAAACATTATTGATTCAGTCATAAGAATGAATGAAGCACTGATACATGCTCTTGCATTGAAATCATTCTATGAAGTAAAAGAAGCCAGACACAAAAGGCCACATTTTGTATGACTCCATTTGTATGAAATGTCCAGAATAGGCAAATGCATAGAAACAGAAAGTAGGATAATGGTTGCCAGGGCTGGGTGAGAGGAGAATGGGGAGTGACTGTTAATGACTGGGTTTTTTTTGAGAGGGGGAGGGGAGGTGATGGAAACGTTCTAGAATTAGGTAGTGAATATATATGATTGGATAAGTGGGTGACTAACAGATCAGATGATGGAATGGCTGTTGTTTGTAATGGGAGACATTACTCTTGGTTGAAAATCATTTTTACTGTAAAAAGAAATCTGATGGACAATGTTAGAAAATGATAGAATGATAGAGAAGTGGGTTTCGAGATGTCCATAAGGTAAAACAAACTTTAGTGCATGTAATATTTTAATGAAAATCTGTACGTTGGAAATATTTCAGTATTTAGAAACCATAGTTCTCGAATAGTGAATATGGATGTTGTGAAAGGGAAATCTTTTTTTTTTTAAGATTTATTTATTTATTTAGAGAGAGAGCGAGCGAGTGCACACAGGTGAACAAGTGGGGAGAGGGGCAGAGGGAGAGAGTCAAGCAAACCTCCTTACTTGAGGGCAGAGCCTGAGACCATGACCTGAACTGAAATCAAGAGTTGGACACTTAACCGTCTGAGCCACCCAGGCACCCCCTGTAAAAGGAAAATCTTAAAAAAAGAAAATATCCCTGAGATAGTTTCCACCTTCCCATTGGCTTTAGAGTTGGAAGTGATTGGGGCAAGGGCAGATAGGCTTAAAGTACTAGCAAGAAACATTTGCTCAGCCACTCACTCATCTTTTAAAATATTTTTAAAGATGGAGATGAAGATGATGAAGAGGAAGAAGATGAAGCTGGTCCACCTGAAGAATATGAAGAAGAAGAGGAGGAAGAAGAGGAGGATGAGGATGAGGATGAGGATGAAGCGGGCTCGGAATTGGGAGAGGGAGAAGAGGAAGTGGGCCTCTCATATTTAATGAAAGAAGAAATCCAGGTGAATAGGCATTTCTTTATTACTAAATAAAGTAATTATTTAGGCATAAAGCCAAGGTCTATAAATAGTTCAGTTGTGGAGAAATTTGAAAATTGTTACTAACTTGCAGGTCTGAGCGTGTCTATCTGTCATTTTTCCTACTGTCCCCTGGCTCAAACTGTATCTAGGGCAGCCTGGGTGGCTACTGAGCCCAGGCGGTTTAGCGCCGCCTTCAGCCCAGGGTGTGATCCTGGAGACCTGGGATCGAGTCCCACGTCGGGCTCCCTTCGTCAGGCTCCCTACTTCTCCCTCTGCCTGTGTCTCTGCCTCTCTCTCTGTGTGTCTCTCATGAATAAATAAATAAAATATTAAAAAAAAACCTGTATACAGATCATCATAAGCACCTATGGTTTTACCGCCTAGGTATCTTGTAAATCCATTCTGCCCAGAGCAGCAGGGTTCATGGAAACATTTTACAAAAGTTTCTGAGCTTCAGCTTCTGCATTTATAGAACTGAAAATAATATCAACCTCTTAGGCTCTTTTCAGGGCTTAACGAGAATATAGGTAAATTATCTAGTCCATGGCACATCATAGGCACTCAGCAACACTTTCCTTTCCCTCTAATTATTTTTTGTTTATGGTTTTGTTGTAGTTTTCCAAATGGCTTCTTGAATACAGTGTCACCACTTAGGTGTATCCTTCACAGTCTGTGCTTGCTTGCTTAGTCTGAATGCAAATATGATCATATCACTGCCCTGCTTGAAACAATTTAATGTTTCCCTGTTGCCACCAAGATATATACAAGACCAATCACTATCTAGTCCCTGTTTGCCTCTCTAGCCTCTTCTCCCTCCATTTTAAATTAAATCGTCACACTAAGCTGTTTCTTGCCTTTCTGTTTCATTGTTTACTCTTAATCTGAAATGACTTGCTACTCATGCTCTCTGATGAATGCTTTTTTTTTAACTGAGGTAAACATAAATATAGTTAAAGCCTGTAAAGTGCACTGATTTTATGTACAAGTTCACATTTTACTTATCTGTATACTTGTATGACTACCATCCAAATCATGACTCAGTTCTGGAGTTGTCTCATTATTGAAACTTTCTATAATTTTTTATACTCACTACCTTCGTTACCTTTTTTTTTTTTTAAAGATTTTATTTATTTATGAGAAAAACAGAGAGAGAGAGAGAGAGAGAGAGAGAGAGAGAGAGAGAGGCAGAGATATAGGCAGAGGGAGAAGCAGGTTCTCTGCAAGGAGCCCAGTGTGGGACTCGATCCCGGATTCCAGGATCAGGACCTGAGTCGAAGGCAGATGCTCAACTGCTGAGCCATCCAGGCATCCCCCTTTGTTACCTTTGAATCTTGGTTAGTCTTCTCTTGCTCATAGATACTTTTGTAAAAACTTGTTTACTTGGCTACTTTCTATTAGATGGCGAGTTCCATAAAGGGAGGGTCATCTGTCTTTATATCTCAGTGTCTAGTACATTAACAGGGACATAGTAAGCTCACAGGAAGTGTCAGTTGACTTGAATAAATGATCTTTTGCCCCTGGGAATTACTATTTCCTCCTAATGTTTTTTTTTTAATTTTTATTTATTTATGATAGTCACACACAGAGAGAGAGAGAGGCAGAGACACAGGCAGAGGGAGAAGCAGGCTCCATGCAGGGAGCCCGACGTGGGATTCGGTCCCGGGTCTCCAGGATCACGCCCTGGGCCAAAGGCAGGCGCTAAACCGCTGCGCCACCCAGGGATCCCTCCTCCTAATGTTTTTAAATTACTGAGTTTGTTTGCATAATTCAGAGTTTTTTTTATTAAAAATATCTCTTACTTAGGGCAGCCCCGGTGGTACAGTGGTTTGGTACTGCCTGCAGCCCAGGGTGTGATCCTGGAGAACCGGGATCGAGTCCTGCGTCGGGCTCCCTGCATGGAGCCTGCTTCTCCCTCTGCCTGTGTCTCTGCCTCTCTCTCTCTGTGTCTCTATGAATAAATAAATAAAACCGAAAAAAAATATATCTCTTATTTAGACTATAAATTATTAGTATTCTTATTTGTTCTCCTAAGGACTTTTACATTGGTTAGATAATATCCCTGATCAGTGATAATTTTTCTCTGATACATTTTATTTTATTTTTTTATTTTTTTTTAAGATTTTATTTATTCATTCATGGGAGACACACACACACACACACACACACACACACAGAGGGGGGGGCGGGGCAGAGACACAGACAGGGAGAAGCAGGCTCCATGCAGGGAGCCTGACGTGGGACTCCATCCCAGGTCTCCAGGACCATACCCCAGGCCCGAAGGTGGCTCTAAACCACTGGGCCACTGGGGCTCCCTGTTTTTAATATTTTTAATTAGTTGTGTTGTAACCTTATTTTTAGAAGGTGAGAGTCAGTAGAAGCTTCTGAGACTATCAAGATTCAAAAAAGAAAGTAGAAGGAGATAGAAATGGGATTTGATTAGCTATTTTTGGTTTGAGTATTCTTTTTATTTCAGTTACACTTCAGAGGTAAGGAATTAATATGTACAAAGATGGACTTTATGTTTGTGTAGTATACTTCATTAAAAATGGGGGTGGAGGCTTTAGAAGAATTGGAAATAGTGGTGCTCCTGTACTATACATAGTATAGTGAGGAAACATGTCATTTCCCATTAGTTAGGAAGAGACCATAGTTTCTACTGAATAAGCCTTTGGTGAAAGCAGAGTTTTTATTGAGGGATATTATCTAAAATGATATTGAAAAGTAAAGGCTTAGATGATGGCTATACTTGGCGGTGAGCATAGCTTAAGGTAAAGACTTGTTGAGTCACCCTGTTGTACACCTGAAACTAAGGTGACATTGTGTGTCAACTATATTTCAATTTTAAAAAAAGGCTTAAAAATGTGAATCAGTTAATGTAACCATATATATATATTTTTAAAGATTTTATTCATTTATTCATGAGAGACACAGAGAGAGTGAGAGAAGCAGAGACATAGGCAGAGGAAGGAGCAGGCTCCATGGATGGAGCTTGGTATGGGACTCGATCCCAGGACTCTGAGATCACACCCTGGGTCAAAGGCAGACGCTCAACCACTAAGCCACCCAAGTGTCCCCATATTTTGTTTATAAATCTGGAGAAGCAATTAGCTTTTGAGAATGAGAGACACACAGAAAGGCAGAGATGTAGGCAGAGGGAGAAGTGGAGAAGTAGGCTTCCTCTGGGGAGCCCAATGCAGGACTCGATCCCAGGACCCCAGGATCACACCCTGAGCCAAAGGCAAATGCTCAACTGAGCCACCCAGGCCTCCCCATGTTCCTTCTTATTTAAAAAAAAAAAAAAAATATATATATATATATATATATATATATATATATATATATATATATATATATATATAAAATAGAAAGAGAGAGAGAGCACAAGCAGTGGGAGAGGGAGAGGGAGCCTGATGTGGGGTTTGATCCTAAAACCCTGGGATCATAACTCAAGCTGAAGACAGACACTAAACTAACTGAGCCACCTGTTGTACCCTTATTGTGGTTCCTTTTTATATTATTGGCCTACCCCATATATTCCTTTTCCTCCTTGTATCTTTTTATGTTTTTATTTTTACTTTTTTATCCCTCCTTGTATTTTTTTTAAGGTTTTATTTATTTACTCATGAGACACACACACACACACACACACACACACACACAGAGGCAGAGACACAGGCGGAGGGAGAAGCAAGGTCCATGCAGGAAGCCCAACGTGGGACTCGATCCTGGGTCTCCAGGATCACGCCCTGGGCCTAAGGCGGCCCTAAACCGCTGAGCCACCGGGGCTGCCCCGCTCCTTATATCTTGATGATGTCCTGGTATAGAATGCTTTTCAGTGTTTGAACTGATTGTATAAGATTGATTTCTTTTTTTTTTCCAGAGAGATTTATTCATTCATTCATTCATTCATTCATTCATTCATTCATTCATTCATTCATGAGAGACAGAGAGAGAGAGAGAGAGAGAGAGAGAGGCAGAGACACAGGCAGAGGGAGAAGCAGGCTCCATGCAGGGAGCCTGATGTGGGACTTGATCCTTGGTCTCCAGGATCAGGCCCTGGGCTGAAGGCGTCGCTTAAACTGCTGAGCCCCCCGGGCTGCCCTAAGATTGATTTCTGATAGAAGTGTTGTGCAATTGAGTTTCTCAGGATTCTCGCTACGTGGTAGGAAATTAGGTTCTGTTTAGTATTTCTATTTTTTTATCCTTTTTTTTTTAAGATTTTATTTATTCAGAGAGAAAGAGAGAGAGAGAGAGGCAGAGACACAGGAAGAGGGAGAAGCAGGCTCCATGCAGGGAGCCTGATGTGGAACTAGATCCCAGGACTCTAGAATCATTCCCTGAGCCAAAGGCAGATGCTCAACCACTGAGCCACCCAGGCATCCCGTTTAGTATTTCTAGATACAAATGGGGCTGTGGATACTGTAAAAAGGATGAGTTGTCCAAGTTTTCCCCTAACAACCCAGCAATTCTTGACATTTGCCTATTAAAGTATTTTAAGGAGCATACTGCTTTTGTGGGGTTGGAAGGGAAACCCTAGATTGGTTCCCCCCCTTTTTTCCCCCAAGCACATGTAGAACTCAACTGTTTGGAACATGGCAGTAAGTGTAAAAGGCCCCTGAGTAGCCAAAATATAGTAACAAAACACATTTTCTTTCCAGGAGCTGTTATTCTAAACCTATTTTCTATATTCAATATAATAAGCTTGTCGATCTATTTTCTGAATCCAAAGCAGATTAAAATTCAAGTGGTAACTTACTACAAAAGAGAAGGCATGAAAACTAGGAAAAGATACAATTCAAAGAAGAGGCCAGGGTCATTTTTAAAAGGAGAAAACTAGGGCAGCCCGAGTAGCTCAGCGGTTTAGTGCTATCCCCTCTGGCCCAGAGTGTGATCCTGGAGACCCAGGATTGAGTCCCATATCGGGCTCCCTGCAGGGAGCCTGCTTTTCCCTCTGCCTGTGTCTCTGCCTCTCTCTCTCTGTCTCTCATGAATAAATAAATAAAATCTTAAAAATAAAATAAAAGGAGAAAACTGTCCTACATGTATTGATAGGCTCCGAAAGAATCGGCATATACTAATTAGGTTTGTGTTCATGATCAAATGATTATGACTGAGTATTCAAGAGAAACGTTTGTTTGGTTTAGCATAAAATGGTAAAAGTGCAGTTTAGAGATTTGTATCCCAATTGGTTAAAGTAAAAAAAAAAAAGTTTTGATGTTTCAAGGCTATGTTTACATATTAGCTATCTAGAACAGCTCCTTCCACAAAAGTTGTAGATCAAGTTTTGTGATGCTATTTTGATGTGTAGATTTGTATTTATTTATTTTCTTAAATAAATAAATTTATTTCTTTTCTTAAAAGATTTATTTATTCATTCATGAGAGACACAGACGGAGAGAGAGAGAGGCAGAGATATAGGCAGAGGGAGAAGCAGGCTCCTCACAAGGAGCCTGATGTGGGACTCAGTCCCGGATCCCACGATCATGACCTGAGCCGAAGGCAAGCACCCAACCACTGTGCCACCCAGGCGTCCCAATGTGTAGATATTTAGATGTAGAAGGAACTTATACATCTTCTGGATGAATACTGTCTTTTATTGTTTGGAAAACTACGGTCCAGGGAGATTGAGTGACTTATTCAATGCATATAACTATGTTGGCACTAGGATTCAGGTAATTCCTGGCTTACTCTATAAAATAGAAAACTTTTCTTTGAAATTGTCTAAAGTTACTCTGTCCATTATAGTAGTCACTGAGCACATTTGGTTATTTAAGTTAAAATAAAATGAAAAATTCAGTTCCTCATTTGTACTGATCACATTTTTTACTTTATTTTGTTTAAAGATTTTTTATTAAGTAATCTCTACACCCAACATGGAGCTTCAATTCACAGCCTTGAGATCAAAACTTGTATGCTCTACTGAGCCAGCCAGGCACCCCTGTACTGGTCACATTTTAAGTGCTCAGTAGCCACATGTGGACAGTACAGATACAGAACATTTCCATTGTTGCAGAAAGTTTTTTTGAACAGTGTCAGTCTAAAATATAACTTACTTTCATAAACCAGATTTAGTTGGGTTCTTAAAGAAGACCTATGTAAGTTAGGTAGGGGTTGTTAGAACACAGGATAACTATAGTTTTTTTGTTCTTGTTGGAATGAATAACTACCAAACAGTGAAAAATGTGTCATGGCTTTTTATTCTCAAACTGAATATTTGGTTTTTAAGGATGAAGAAGATGATGATGATTACGTTGAAGAAGGGGAAGAAGAGGAAGAAGAGGGTGAGTTACATTATCTGCAAAAAATCCCAACATTAAAGTTATAGCTATTATTCACATACTTTAAAGATTGAGTTTATAGTTCAAATTATTACTGATCTTTGATTTGATTTTGGTAACATAGAGCACTTTGAGGGGTATAAAACCTTTTTTTTTTTTTTGAGAGAAAGAAAGAGCGCATGAGTGATAATGGGGGGTTGGCAGGAGAGAGAGAATCTTAAGCAGGATCCAGGCTCAGTGTAGAGCCTGATTTGGGTCTCGATCTCAAGACCCTGAGATCATGACCTGAGCTGAAATCAAGAGTTGGACACTTAGCCCACTGAGCCACTTAGGCACCCTGAGATGTAAAACCTTTCTTGAAAGAGTAATTTTCTCAAGGCATTTAATAATTTCTTTTTTTTTTAATTTTTTTTTTTTTTATTCATCCACGATAGTCACAGAGAGAGAGAGAGAGAGGCAGAGACACAGGCAGAGGGAGAAGCAGGCTCCATGCACCGGGAGCCCGATGTGGGATTCGATCCCGGGTCTCCAGGATCGCGCCCTGGGCCAAAGGCAGGCACCAAACCGCTGCGCCACCCAGGGATCCCCCCTTTTTTTTTTTTAATTTTTTTTTTTGCATTTAATAATTTCATTTAAAAAAACCACCCAGCCTATAACATTTCTTTCTTTCTTTCTTTTTTTTTTTTTTAAAGATTTTATTTATTTACTCACGAGAGACAGAGAGACAGAGAGACAGAGAGAGACAGAGAGAGAGGGGCAGAGACACAGGCAGAGGGAGAAGCAGGCTCCATGGAAGGAGCCCAATGCGGGACTTGATCCCGGGTCTCCAGGATCATGCCCTGGGCCGAAGGCAGGCGCTAAACTGCTGAACCACCCAGGGATTCCCCCCCTTTTTTTTAAAAGATTTTATTAACATTTATTTCTAAAACCGGTATGAACAGAGATAAGAGAGAACCTTGAGCTTAATTTATTATTTTCTTAGGTCTTTCATTTTGAAGAAGGTGAAGCCATATATCTAAGAGAAGAGCTGTTTTATTTCCAGATTACATCCTGTTCAGATTTGCTTTTTAGTACTCATTACCTAGGCCTTCCATAATAAATTTAAAAATTTACTAATGATTCTCTTTTATTGACAAGCCCCTGGGTTCTTGATCTGTACTTCATGATTTGGCCACAAGGGTGCACAGCAAACTGTCGTTGTTTATGGATTTCTAAATCTATTAAGTCTGTTCAGTACACTGAAGTTAAATTCAGAGAGGAAACAATGTATAATTTTTTATGCCAGTAAGTTTTCACTAAGATAGATTCAAAACTTTGTAATTTAGCAGATATTCATTTGGTAAAATTGAGTATTTTACTGTTTTTTTTTTTTTTTCACTCTTTTTTCAGAAGAAGAAGGTCTTCGAGGGGAAAAAAGGAAACGAGATGCTGAAGATGATGGAGATGAAGAAGATGACTAGATCATTCTAAGACCAGATTCCCTAATGTTCCTGGGTGTGCAATAGAGTGATCACATCTTCTTTGTTTCTTCATGTACCATAGCGATCCCTACAGAAGATAACCTGTAACTTTTTATAGGAAAAGTGTGGTTTTACTATTTTTGCCTTATCATTCCAAATAAGATTTACTAGTCTGTTAATGATCATATTGTATGTAGAGAAAAAAATTTTCATTGACCCCATTGTGAAATTCTCTAGCAATTTATTTAGAATCTTCATTTTTCTCATTCAAGCTCACTGTATTAGTTATTTTTAGCCCATAATTAAAAACATGATCACTTTTACACAGGCGTAGTTTGGTGCATTTCATTCATAAGGTTTTAAAGTTATTTATGAGTTAACTGAAATCACAGTCGGCTGGAATATGAAATGAAAATAATCTCTTGACTGATAAGTTGATTATATTTTTAGAGGTGACCCAGAGATCTCTAGCTTGAAGGCAATGACCTTTTGGGGGAGGGCTAAGGGTATTTGGGTGCTTTTTTGTCACATCAGTAACTTAGAAAGTAGGAAAATAGCAAAGGTTCTATTCAACAATATAGTTCATGGCTTTTGTGGAGGCTTCTGAAACCTTTTAAGCCAGGTGACTAATATTTTATTTTTGAAGGAAAATTGGTTGTACAAAGTTCAGATTCATGCAGCTGAGCCTTTGTTTTTCAAGCTGAAGATCACAAAATATCAACGGTTGTTTATTTTGTTTTCAAGTGCACATTCTTTATTTTCCTCCCAGCTATTCCTTTATGATGACTTCCATTTCTTGTTTCACCCCCCCTTTTTTAAAAAGATTTTATTTATTTATTCATGACAGACACACAGAGAGAGAGGCAGAGACACAAGCAGGCTCCATGCAGGGAGCCTGACATGGGACTCGGTCCTGCGTCTCCAGGATCAGGCCCTGGGCTGAAGGCGGTGCTAAATCGCTGGGCCACAGGGGCTGTCCCCGTCCCTCTATCTCAAAAATGTTGGGAAACTTATGGCTACCAAGGAAAAACTTTATTTAGTCTTTTACACTTTAACCACCTTTTCAGACTGTCTCATTTTTAAATAAGCTAAGTGAAAGAAATAGAATATTTTCTGAGATACAAATATTATCAATACAGTATTTGCAATAGATTCTGCTTATTGTAAATCTTTCTTGGTTGAGAAGATGTACAGACTGTATTAATAGGGTAAAGAAGGAAAAGCAGAGGAAGCTTTCAGAAGCAGCATTAATGTTCCTCAAAAGTCTGAACAATTGCCTGCCGATAATTAATGAGACATGCAAGTCAAATTTTCAAGTTAGCTTCCCAAATGATTTAGATACCACACTTCAAAAATATTTCTAATTTTTCTGAGTAGAACTTTTAATTATTCTTCCTATAATTTTAAGGTATTACCAGATATAGCATTTAATTGGAATATACTGGGCAGTTGGAAAAATATTTGAAAGTAAATATTAAAATTAAGATTTGTTTCCAAGTGGAAGTCCATTAAAAATAGAAAAATATTTGGGTTGGGTGTGTTTCTTTACATGGCTACTAAATATAATAATATGAGTAGACAAGTATATCTCCCTTTTTTGTTGTGGAGGCTCCATGCTCAAGGCAATTGCTTTTTAATACTTGGCTAAATTGTTTTCCCCTTTGTTTTGAATATCTGTAAGCTTTTTTAAAGTTAGCATCAGCAAATTAATTGAAGTTATACTTCTATACTGGGACACATCTCAATTACTGAGTAAAGAATTTATTTTTCAGTTTCAGATGTATGACTTGGGGTTTTAAAGTAAAAATTACAAAGTTATTTGTGAGTAAACTAAAGTTGCACAAGTGACTGAAATAAAACTTGTGGAATAGGTTTAGTGGGGGGATTGAAATCTCCAAAAGGCCAACATTTTACTCCTTTTTTAATAGTTGAAATACCCTGTTTTAGTCCCTAAGAATTCTCATTGCATAGTATATGCCAGACTATAAAATACTTATTTTTAAAATGAAATCTATATATTGACTTTCTTATCAATCATCTTATTGTGCAATCAGAATTAGATTTCTTTGATTTGAAAACAACATTTAGAGCCTCCAAATAACTTTTCAAAGACTTATTCAGCTTTGTGGGTGGTATTTTCATGCAAACAAGTAAGGGTGGGTTTTATATTTTGTAGAAGTTTTTGGTCCTATTTTAATGCTCTTTGTATGGCAGTATGTATATAGTGTGTTAAATTCCTCAAAACTCTTCTTTAAAAACTTTGAAGTTAATACTTTTGTGTAACTGTGTTTTGAATAAAGCCATGACAGTGTTTAAAAAAAAAATGCAGCACTCCTGATTATTTTTATTGTTTCTGACTGTTTCAAACCTGTTTTTTTTCTGTGACTGCTGTAATTTAAAGTTTTTGAAATTGAATTGCTTCAAATAAATGGAGGATTTGTTGTTAATTATTAGTTTCAGTGTATGACATTCACTTTTTGAACACCACTACTGGGGACTTTGAGGGTCTTTTTAAAAACAGAAACAGCTTGGGAGGTAGGCATTACAATTTAATAGTTTAACTCATCATCTGCCTTACTAACTTTTGTCCAAGAAGGAGAAGAAATTCTGGATTCCCTTAATTTTCCTTTTGGAGTTGCAAATTGAGCCAGTACTTTTTTTTTTTTTTCCTTAAGACTTTATTTATTCATGAGAGACACAGAAGGAAAGGCAAAGACATAGAGGGAGAAGAGGTGGGCTCCCTTTGGGGAGCCCAATATGGGATCTGGGTCCTGGGATCATGACCTGAGCCAAAGGCAGATGCTCAACCACTGAGCCACCCAGGTGCCCTGAGCCAGTACTTTTTGTATTTTGAAGTAATAACTGGGCAGCCCTGGTGGCTTAGCGGTTTAGTGCCGCCTTCAGGCCAAGGTGTGATCCTGGAGACTTGGGATCGAGTCCCACGTCAGGTTCCCTGTATGGAGCAGATAACTCTGGAATGTAACTTACAAAGTCAAGGCACAAATACAGTAAGTAATGTTTTTGTGATTGCTTACAGTGTAATATTGAAAAGGCATTTAGAAAAAAGATTTTATTTATTCATGAGAGAGACAGAATGAGAGAGGCAGAGACATAGGCAGAGGGAGAAGCCGGCTCTTCACAGGAAATCCAATGTGGGAGTCGATACCAGGACCCAGGATCACACACCCTGAGCTGAAGGCAGGTTCCCAGCTGCCGAGCCACCCAGGCGTTCCTATATGGCTTTTTTTTTTTAAAGATTTTATTTATTTATTCATGAGAAACAGAGAGAGAGAGAGGCAGACTCCATGCAGGGAGCCCAATGTGGGACTCCAGGACCACGCCCTGAGCCAAAGGCAGATGCTCAACCGCTGAGCCACCCAGGGATCCAAAAAGGCATTTTAATTACAGAACTTTGCTCCTCGAGAGATGGAAAATATTGAAGTATATCTCAATTACAGAAATTATTTATTAAAATTAGTATTTGTGTGTGTGTTTTACATCTTTAAAATTTCAAAACCTTCTTCCTTCCCCTTGGTTAAAGAAAATGATGGAACTACACTAAAAGTCTTTTTGGTAGTGCTAAACAATGAGGCAATTCTGTGAGAGACTGATTCAAACCACTTCAGTAATGTTTATTCCTTCTGTATTTTATCTTATTTTTTTAAAGATTTTATTTATTTATAGAGACAGAGAGAGAGGCAGAGACACAGGCAGAGGGAGAAGCAGGCCCCATGCAGAGTCCAAGGTCTCCAGGATCACGCCCTGGGCTGCAGGCGGCGCTAAACCGCTGTGCCACTGGGGCTACCCTCCTTCTGTATTTTAAAGAGAGGCTTTGGAACATGTGACATTCTCCCAGTTGCTGAAAATTTCCTCTATGTTCCTAGTACTGGATGCAAAGATTCTGCAGCTGTTTCTTAATAATTGCATTCTACTACTGCATTCCTTTTTCATGTACTAATCAGCCCAAGATTTGAAAACCTGGCTTGGGTAATTTGGCCTGAGGCAGCTACTTATGCTAGTTTGTTGATCAGCCCTAACTTGAAAGAGAATGGGTTATGCCACAAAATGGAAATTACAAAGTGGGTTGATCTCCAGGAGCATCTTTAAAAAGACTTTATATACTGGTAAAATAGTTTTATTTCATACGATCTAATCCTTTTTGTGTGGTAAGACTGAAGCAGGGCTACCCCATAACAGCAATTCTGATTAAGCATCAGAAGCAACTACGACTTACTCAAATTTATGAATACAAATAGTCAAATTTTTGCTTCAGGCATCATTTGGACCTGGTTACTTATAAAATGGGCACATCCACATTACTGGTCAGTATTGATACAGGCCATCAAATAGGCACATAGCACTGGTGGGGGAAAAAAAGCCCATTCCAGCTGTTAAGAAGTAACTGAAACTGGGGTACCTGGATGGCTCAGTAGTTGAGCATCTGCTTTCAGCCCAGATCCTGGGATCAAGTCCCACATCAGGCTCCCAGTGGTGAGCCTGCTTCTCCCTCTGCCTATGTCTCTGTTTCTTCCCTGTGTGTCTCATGAATAAATTTTTTAAAAAAATCTTTAAAAAAACTGGGCAGCCCAGGTGGCCCGGCGGTTTGGCGCCTGCCTTCGGCCCAGGGCATGGTCCTGGAGACCCAGGATTGAGTCCGTCAGGCTCTCTGCATGGAGCTTGCTTCTCTCTCTGCCTGTGTTTCTGCCTCTCTCTCTGTGTCTCTCATGAATGAATAAATAAAATCTTTAAGAAAAAAAAATCTTAAAAAAAGAACTGACATTAAACTCTTCCTTATTTTCTGTAATTCTATTAAATATTCAGATGGCACCACCTTGTGGATGAAGGCCACGATCTGTGCCTCCACTTGAGTTGGATAAACTCATTCCACCACCCCAGAATTAGCTCACTGAGGCTACTGGGTTTCTCTACGTGGAGGTATTTTCTTCCAGTCCTCTTCTCTTGGCAAAGTGTGCTCAGGGGAGCTTACTATCACTTCTATGGACAGCTGTGACTGAGGAGGACTGAAGTTGATAGAAGAATCAGTAAGGGTAATGGAAGGAGCTGCAGTTGAAGCGACTATACTTACTTAAAGACCCAGTGACAGCAGCTCCAGGGAAAACTAGCAGCTGCAAGGGGAAGCAGCAATTACAATCACTCTGCAACGCCTGCAGAAAAGTCAGTGCAAGTCCAGCACTTTTAACTATCCCTCCCCCAACCCCCATTCCATATGAGAATATTCTGAGTTAAGAAGGAATTCATTTCCGCTGTGTGGAGGATTTATTATTTGTAGGAAATGAATGAAATTTTCTGACTTGGATTCCAGGTGAGAGGTCTTACTTTTAGCAAGCTTTCTGTAATAGGTTATATGGAGAGTGATATCTTCTTTTAAAAAATTGTTTTGACTCAGTTGACATTTTTTTTAAAGATTTTTATTTTTTTAAATAAATTAATTTTTATTGGTGTTCAATTTACCAACATACAGAATAACACCCAGTGCTCATCCCGTCAAGTGTCCCCCTCAGTGCCCGTCACCCATTCACCCCCCCCCCCGCCCTCCTCCCCCTCCACCACCCCTAGTTCGTTTCCCAGAGTTAGGTGACTCAGTTGACATTTGATCCTTTTGCACCGTTCATTCTCCACTGCCAAGGTTCCTGGGCTGTAGATGTAGCAGTCAGCATGTGAAGGATTAGAACGGTTCAATTTTGCCTCAATTCATTTTTCTTTTACTCCACTTCCCTCTCACGTCAAGGACTTTAGCCTTAAGAGTGAGTTTCTCCAAGAACTGTTCCCTGTCACACTTCTCTGGGGCTTACCAACCACACCTTATTCCAGCATCACTACTTTAGATTCTTTTTTTTTTTTTAAATTGTATTTATTTATTCACGAGAGGCCTACAAGCAGGGGAAGAAGCAGGCTCCCTGTGTGGGGCCTGAAGCAGGACTGGATCCCAGGGCCCCAGGATCACAACTAGCCAAAGGCAGATGCTCAACTACTGAGCCACCCAGGCGTTCCTGAGGGTACATTTTTTTTAAATTTTTTTAAATTTATTTATGATAGTCACAGAGAAAGAGAGAGGGGCAGAGACATAGGCAGAGGGAGAAGCAGGCTCCATGCACCAGGAGCCCGATGTGGGATTCGATCCCGGGTCTCCAGGTCGCGCCCTGGGCCAAAGGCAGGCGCCAAACTGCTGCGCCACCCAGGGATCCCCTGAGGGTACATTTTGAGGGAAGTTATCTATCCTAGTCCTATGGAACACTGTCTCTTTAAATTTTTACCTTAATTTCCCCAACCCTCAATTTCTGAGATAGAGATAAACCAGTTTTTCTTGTTTTAGAGTACTATTTTTACCACAAGGCACCCTCCTGGGATTCTGGAGTCTCCAGCAGTAGAAATTGGATTTGCGCGTTTTAGGGAGAGCGCAACAGTCCCTGAAATTAAGGAGCTGACACACTCTAATGACGGAGAAAAAGAAATAAAAAAGCGCCAATCACTCCAGACTGTGCCCCTAATGTGATCTGCGGGACGCAGAACAGAAAGTGCCGCAAAACAAGCTTCTTAGATCCGACAGCGCAACCGGGAAGCCGGGAGATTAAAAAGAAGTCAGGCCTCCCTGGTCGAACCGGGGCTACCCGAATTGTTCTGCAAGGGCGCTTTCCGGAACGCCTTGGATTGGGCCAGAAATGCCGCAATCCGGGTCACGTGCCCTCGCCCCGTCCGCCCCTCCCCCCAGACAAGCGAGGGCCCGCGCGCTCCCGCGGCTTTCAGTCAGCGAGCTGCGCACGCGCAGGCTGAGCGGCAACCCTTGTGCCCGCAGGTCGGGCGCCAACGGTTGGCGGAAGGGCGGCCCTGCTCTTGCTTACGCTTCCTCCCTCTGCCGCGGTCGGCGTGGCTAACGCGGACGGAACTCGCCGGCCGGGTCCTCAGGACCTTCCTTTTGTTTGTTCTTTTACGCTTTTGCCAAACTTCGCTTAACGAGTTTCAGAGTTTCTGTTTTATTCCTAATTGAATTTGAAATTTGAATTCTTGGTCTCACATTCATGAATGTCATTCAAGTTAGCAAGTGTAAACGTTGGTGGGTTGTTTAGGTTTTCAAGATTTCTACGGTGGAAGTGCAACTGGAGGACACTTTTTGCTGCTTTTTGTTTGTGTAGGTTCAAGTTTGCGCTCCAGGGGCCTTTGTTCCGGGAGCTTTGCTTCTTGTCTGTAGGAGCTAGCCCGCTCTTTTGTGGTTTTCCTATTTTCGTTTTCCCGATTGAATGCCAAAATTGCTGGATCTTAGTCTTTTTTTTAAAATTTTTATATATTTATGATAATCACAGAGAGAGAGGCAGAGACACAGGCAGAGGGAGAAGCAGGCTCCATGCACCGGGAGCCCGACGTGGGATTCGATCCCGGGTCTCCAGGATCACGCCCTGGGCCAAAGGCAAGCGCCAAACCGCTGCGCCAC